GGAAAGGACAATAGCGCGTTCGTTCCCCACCATAGACACCTGCGGTCCAGAGTTTTGCAAATATCTCAGCAACGTTGTAATAAAGTTAATCTTAATAGTGATTAAATTTTAACAATGTCAGCGACGATTTTTCCTTGTTTCATTGATAGTACAATTTCTCACGTCCCTTTTTTCTAAATTAAAGTGTAGAACAAATATAAAGCTTTTAAAAAACTATTTATTTTCATTGTTATTTTAAAATATTAAAGAAATTCTTTTCAAAATATGACACATTGGGATATAAGTTTCCGCTTTTACGTGTTCTATGCTGTCAACGTATAAGATAGATGTCGATTAATTTACTTATGCTTTCAGCTATGTCGTATGTGTAAATTCTTCGACGTGTTCGGTATCGCGTTGTCGATGAACATCCTGATTTGTATCTCATTGGATCGATTTTATTCAATATTCTTCCCACTTTATGCTATGCGAGCACAAAAAAGCGTTCAGAAGATGGTGTTAGCAGCATGGATCACTTCGTTCGCTACAAGTGCACCACAGGCAATCCCTTTTTTTTCTTTATTATTCCTATTACATACTCGGGTAACGCAATAGTTAGAGGTGCACCGCAATATGCTCTAGGTTTTTGGTTCGGTCCCACCTAGGCAGGATTCGGGATCAAACAATCAGTATGGCAAACTTCCTTGAGGGGTTGAAAACACTGACTTGACAGATCGGATATGCTTCCCCACAAGTCACTGTGTGAGGCATATGCGCATTCGATCAGCTTTTGAATGTTTTGAATGGAATCGAATGCATCGTGTATCCTTAAGCGAATGACCAACAGCGAAAGCTTACGTTTTACTTTTCCTATGCTTCCTACACAGTGCGTACAGTGAACGGCAGCCTATTAGAACAATTCTTCCACCCATATAGTTGCCAGTACGATCTTATATTGAACCATCTAAACCTTTCATACCATATAGGCGTCGTCGGTGAAATAACCTGTACCTGTACTCATCGATTGACCACTGTGACCCTTAGAAATGGTTGTCGTCGGACTAGTTCATTTGTGTGGTTTCAGGAAATTCATAAACTTATTACAAGAATGCAGCAGTTAGTAATATATCTACCTTATTCTTTTATGGTTTTTTTCACTTTTACCTTACAATTTCAAATTAACTATTCTAATAGAAACCTTTTACTTGTTTTTTATATTCCACCCTACTATTTGTTTCGCTTCTTTCGTTTATAGGAGGTTCCTTATGAAGATGGTATGAAAAGAACCGCCCATAAGTAGTCAAACTGTAGAAATAGGAAAGTTTGTTTTCGAAAGATCGGTCTACATACCGGGTCTTTTTGCTTCTCCAGTGATTTAATAAGCTTTTTAAAGATAACTTTTCGAATGATAAGGCAAATGTCTTTCAGAGGTGAAGCTACATTTATCCATCTGCTTACTTACTAACTGCCGTGAAGACGAAAAGCATTCGATACTTATCTATGTGATCATACGACTTTAATCCACTCAAATGTCAATGACTATGCAAAAATCACTATGGAATTCACTAGAAATCAAATTTACTACCAAATACCATCTGTTGCTTCTAGCAAAATGTCATTGCAGGAAAGACTGGCATATGTCCTTTCAGAAAATTCACTGAATAAATAACATCTATCCACAAAGGAGGGGGGGAGGCGTGGAGGGTAGTGGTTATAGGTGCAGCGCACTTTATACATACGGTGTCTTTGATTCGATCCTGCACTTGGACTCACCCATCATTCCATCCCTCTGGTTTCGGCAGATTGGCACCAGACTTGTTCGGAAGGAAAGCCGCACTTACTTGATGCATCAGTAGACCAGCGCTTGTCGCTGTATAGGCCGGTTGTGCATTCATTCACCTCTCACGATGCTTGGTGAAGCGGTATGCGTGGGGGTCTCTCAGGGATTTATCAACGCCGAAAGTTTTATGCTTTTTACTTACGAAGAGTTATTTTGATTTCAGTTCTACCTCTTCAAAACTGCTACTCATCCGTGCTACCCGACATACACACAATGCGTCTCGAGAAATCTCGTCAATGAAATATCAACAGGGGTGCGTGTCTTTTTATCGCTGCTCTTCTTCACGTGCTCACTCATCTTTTTCCATACTCGTATCATAGAAAAAATTTTAGACTTTTTAGGAACATTATATGCATGATGTTTTCTGCGCCAACATAGCCACATCCTTATTTTTTAGTAACATCTTTCGGATTTAACAGGCCATCATTCATTCCCAGCCTGTACCGGGAAGGAGCACTGCATTGTCGTAAGAAAAAATAATAAAGTGTGCAATTAACCGAAATACCGACTGTATAGAAGTTGACACATTCATGGTAACGTGACCTTTATAGGGGTTATATATAATGAGACACAATGGCTGGGATAACCTCTGTCCTACGAGTGGGTTGTGGACGAGTTATTTTTTAAACCCATGCAAGAGCTATAATACGCCAAAAATATGACGATATGTGTAGGAGAACACAAAATATACATAAGATAAGAGAAGCGCAAGAACTCTTTCAAACGTGGAGAGAAAAACCGAATTAAAGAATAGCCGGTCTGACCTCCATAGGCGTCGTAGCGAGTGGGGCAAAAAATTAGGCGTGTTCGCGAAAGTGTGTTAAACACAGACTGCTGCGATAAACATTTTACTGTTCACTTTGTTTTAGATTTCTATTTTTCAAAGTTTGATCGATAACAAGTGAATAAAATAGTACAATAGTCGCGTGAAGCATGAGCGTGAAGCGACTAGTCGTCATACTAGTAATCACTATCTTAGCAAATGTTGCAAAAATTTTTGGAAATATAGGAAGTACTGCCTTGATTAGTCCCTAGTATTTAACCCATTTACAAAAATTCGGGCCATTGTTACTTTTTTCTTCAGGTAGTGTTCTATTTTTCAATACTGAACATCGTGCAAGTATACTTTTTTCCGTTAATCGTAACAGTTGTCTGTTATTCACTGATACTCTGGAAGATCTCTGAGGAATCGGCCACTAAGAAAAAAGAAGGTAGTTGTTGATGAATGCTTTCAATACGAGTTACATCATTAGCAAAGGTTTCATTGTTCGTTTTTTCTCATCCTCTAATCTATACTCAAGGGGTGCGTGTGGTGCAGTGGCCGAAGGCGGCCTGCAACACACCCGTGGAATCGGTCCCTGCACCCATGACCCACCAAGGCTTCCATCCCTCCGGGGTCGGAGAATTGGTACCAGGCTTGTCTGGCAGAATAGTAGCACTGGCTCGATACATCGTTTGGTCATCGCGAGTAATTATAAAGGCCAGATACGCATTCACCTCCAACGACACTTAATGAAATCAAATGCATGGCGCATCACTCAGGGATTGATCAATGCCAAGAGCATTATCCTTTTTATTCTGCACTCTATACTCAGCATATTTCTCCCGTTATCTGTTTTTGTTATTTTTTTTATTTATCTTCCGTTGCCTGTACTTCCATTTAATCTGATTCCATCCTCATTTCACTTCGCGTTTACATTCACGTACAGTCAACTTAATTGCGAACTATTCCCATTCATAGGAATTATTCTCTTTCTTTTACAGCAGAATTTACGTCAGACTCGTTACTACGACGCAGTGGTCTACAAACGCTTCAACGTGCGAGGAGTAGAACACTTAAGTGGGTCCTGACGTGATATTATGTCACATTTATGTTTCGCTTTGAAGAAGCTCTTATCATTTCGTCAGGATATCCACAGTTCGCGCAAAACTATGGTTTACTGATCTGGCATTCTCAATCTTTCATACAGGACTGTTAAAACATTTTGTGGGTACTGCAATCGAGAAAAGAATCTAATCTCTTCGCTGGATTCCAATAACTCATCTGCGCATTGATTTTTTTTAATTGTCTTCCTTATCCATGTAAGTGAGCAGCTTCACATACAGTTATGGACGTCACATTTGCCGCAAGTCAACAATCACCTGTATAACCTGTAGTATTTACTATCATACATACTATTATCAGTATTACATCACCTGTAGTCCCGTTGATCGTCGAGTGACTCGAGCGGGCGACATTAAATCATTCATTTTTCCCTGTCGCGTGCAAGAGTGGTCCAGTGGGTTCTGCTCGCTCTAGGGACTCGTCGAGCATCATATCCTTCTTCTAGGCGTTTCGTGAAGAACTTTGACCATTGGGTCAGTAGTCTTCTTGCATATCCCGAGGAATCCAGTCACTAACGGCTGTTGTCCATCAGTTGTCATTCATGCGCATTAAGTGTCCGGCCCATTTTATCTTCGACAGTTTGGCGTGCAGAATGACATGTTTGATTTTTGGTCGAGTCAACAATAGTCGATACAATATCTTATATAGCATTAACGGTAAGCATGTAAGGTAACGGAGACTTCTGCACGAAAAAAAACAGGAGCTAATGCAACAACGGGTTCCACCGCCTCATCACATATTTTTATTGGTGTTGACGTTTACAAGTGGCATATGGATATGGAGCTAGATCTCAGAAAGATATATAAACTCCTTTCGACCCTTCAAGCACACCACTCAATCACTAAGTCAACGAGAAGGCGTCCATGTTTATTCATCCTTTAGAAGTCAACTTTATCTGGTGTCATAGAGGTGATGGACCTACATAGGATCTTGCAGGGACTAAATATATAATGCACGTATTTCCATCCTCCTAGACAAGTCTGGTACCAAGTTGCTGACACCAGATGGATGCCGTGTTTTGGCAGCTATGGTCACGAAGTCGAATCAATCACCATGTGGGTTGACAATTTCCGAATTACTGGAACCAGCAACGTTAAGATCACCTATGCAGCGTTTAGATGCTTTCTGAAATACATTTGGTAAACACAGCACCACCGAATTATGTCCTTCAGATCTTTGAAAAACATCTCGTTGAAGACCCAAAGTAGTGTGTACTTCAAGCCGAGCGTAGATATGCTACTTATGTTATTGTAAGAGTCGACGACAGTAGTTGAGCAGAATGAACCTCAAGAGCAAACAAGCTCTCCGTCAGAGCAGCTATCTACAAGCTGGGCAGGCGTGTTTAGATTGTATATTAGATCAGTCTATTGGGCTTACAATTCAAGGTGATTTATGAATGCCAGAATGATACTAGAGGACAGCACGACACACGAAATTAGCCAACACTGCTCATGACTAGCGCGTGGTTGTGACAGTTTGCCTCTAGATGATAGACCGTAAGAGTCCAAGTTTTGGACTAAGCCTCTAGAAGGGACACAATAAATCAACATGGATATATTGATGAACCATCTTCTCTTTTCTCACAAGACGATTACCCATGGCTTCGACACGTCATTATCTACGATGACGGCGTTTTTTCTTTAGTCGGAATTCGTAGTTAATTATTACTACTCTTATTAATCGAAAATCGTAATTAATTGCGATGAGCTTCTTTCATTGCGGTGCTAGACGCGATAGCAATGATGGGACACTGTAACATAGTTCCTATGGGTAACTATCAAGGGTTTAACAACAACGGTTCTTTTTGTCTCATTCTTCGTCATATCTCACCAGTTTGTCATAATTCTTCTAAAGCCCCTAGATTTCGTCAAAGTGCACTGAATTCGGCATTCGATTTTTGATCAGAATCTAAACATCAGCGCAGCCTCGTGATTTCTGCAGCTTTTCTTGGCTCGATGTTTTGCTGGACAGACCGGACGGTCGTTCAGATATGTGGGTAGATCACGGCGTTCCACCGTAAATAGGTTGAGGTCTCGGTTGGAAAAGAAAAAAGTTAGAAAAAGTTGGACAAAAAAATTAAAGTCTAAGCTGCAAACTATAGGTCCAAGTGTATCAGTGTCTCTATAATGAATAACCCAGTTAATCATGTACTACCTGGCTCGAACACCAGTGCATTTCATTCTTCATCACTGTGCATCAGTGCTGTTTAAAAGATTAGCTCGTTAAAGGAAGATGGGCATTTTTTATAATAATACTATTTATGGAAGATATTCCATTAAAGAATAGTTTGCGGTATTATGGCTATTCAAACATTGCGCATAATAGGTCAATTTTAAATGCCATCATTATCCATGCTTTTTCTTCTGGATTTCAGGATGACGTTCGTGATCGTGCTAGCGTTCATTTGCTGCTGGACGCCATACGCAATCATGATGTTTCTGCACTTTCTCACCGAGACGGACTGGTATGTTTATTATCAAATGACGAGCAACCTTCCTTGAGAGCCTGACTGAACTTAGGGATTAGCTGTGGGTTACAGAGATAATTATCATGCCCTCCGTGGAATTCCACCAAGTTTTAAAGTTGGGTTTGTTTTAAACTACTCGTAATTAAATGGTTGGTGACACGTGGACGCATATACATATGCATAAGCGGTAGATGATTTAGCGAGATGAGAAGGAAAATAAACGACTGCCCTTTCATGCGCAACTGTACTGACAGTTCTAGTCGACTATGACTGAATTAATCAGTTCTAACCGAATCTTAATCGTTGGATTTGTCACAAGATCAACACAGTATCGTCTGCATTTTCGTGCTTCGTTGTTGAAAAGTTTCAAAATAACTGTAATTTGCTAGGAAAAATTAAGCGTGCAATGAGTGAGTGTTTTAAAGTATGCGTACCGCACTTCACTTTGTTATGAACGCTATGGAATCATAGAACATCTTTAGTCCAGAGATCTAATATGAGTCCAAATTTCTTAGCAAAAATACTTGCATATTTATTTTAAGCCCTTAACAAGTTGTACACCGTTAGGCTCAGAACAACTTTTTTGGCTAAGCAGTTGCTTTCCCTCAACCACCAGGATTACCGAGACTTGATGTCAGTACACAATCATAGAGATAGTTGTATGCATAGGTGAACTCTCAGCTAGGTCTATGTTTATACAATGAAGCTCAAGTGTATGTCACAGTTCGATGGAAGGCATCGTAAAAGTCAAAAATCTTATGCATAGTAAGAAAGCTTTTGAGCGCATAGGTAATAAAGCACTCAAAAAGTGTGTTTGAAGAAGTAGTACGTTCAGTTAGTTCAATTCAAACTTATTTCTTCAAATACCATTCATGTGTGTAAGTTTTCATTCGTGGGTTCGAATTGTCACTGCAGAGTCGCCGTGAAATTATATCATCGGTTATTCGGTTTTATTGCGATCTTAGCAAAAAGAGAACATCTCTTTACAAATGAGTTATACCATGGAGTAAGCATATTAGTTCCATGATTAAAAGGCTGTGTTTAGGATACCGAAAGACGTCCGGAAGTTCATCTACGCGTTTGCCGTGTTTAACTCGGCGATATCTCCCTATCTTTATGGCTATTTTTCATTTGATGTGAAAAAAGAACTCAAGTTGCTGTTCAGTTGCTCTCGCAATATCGCATCAGAAGTTCATGCTACTTCTTCGATAAACACCAGCAGGTTTCCGAAATTCAAGACTAATTCTTTAACGAATTCACAACTATGTGAGGTCTAATCAACATCTATTGTTTCATTGGTAAGCTAATACAAGGTTGACAAAAAAGAACTTTATTCGGCTAACGTTTCGGAGTATTTAGGTTACTTTTCATTTGTCTTCTGAAACATGTGGGGCCTGCAGCAAGAGGTAATTTGATGACCTGAGGAAAATCTGAGGAAGAACAGAGGCCATAGCGCTTCACAAATTGTAGCATAGCGAAAATCCACTGAAGCTTTTCGTGATCATACCATACTTGCCATGTTTTTGTACTTCATATGGTCGCTAATTACTCAAGAATGATCTATGGTACACAGAAACAATATCGCGTTGGGTAGCTCTTGCATTTGATTAGCATTCTAAGTTAATGAAGCTACTTGCCTTCCGTGCTTAGTGTATTCGTCGTAAATTCATCTATAACCGACAAAGCAATGCTTCTTTGCTTTTTGACCACAGATTAAGGTTATGCGGTATATGTTAGCTTCGATAAGCGTAGAAAGGAAAAACGGACAAAGAACCGCTTCGTTTCTTGAAAAGTCGCTGAAGTTAATGAATACATCGTCTGTTCGGTGGAGGGCTGTTGTGGAATTTATAAAATATGCCGATTCTTCTGTGATCGTAAGGCAATCATCATGGATAAAACAGTCATTAGGTCCGTACGGATTGCCTCAACTTGTTAGCAGTCGAACTCGATTCTCAAGCTCGCAGGTGATTTCAAGCGCTCATATCACTAAAAAAGATTTCTCCCACTTTTCTCACTATATCTACGTCTCTCATAGTATAAAAGCTTTAAAATAAAATTTGAAGAATTGGCCTTGAAATATGAGCAAACTTGAATTTGAAGGAGCAGAAAACTGAACAAATCTATTTCTATATGTATTCTTTCCTGATGAACTTACGCGAGGTTAATAAATATATTTATTTATAAAAAATGAAAAAACTCTTACCCTTTATCAAATTTATTTCTCATAGTATAAAAGGAATAAGCAATGCGATGGACCCACATGGTGTGGTGGTGAACGCGTCAGCTCTTGGAAAGGGTAATAGCGCGTTCGTTGCCAGTGCAGATACCTGCGGTCCGGAGTTTTGCAAATATCTCAGCACCGTTGTGGTTGTATTTCGTATACCCTGCCGTAAAAATTGTAGTAGGCGGAAAATAAAAAGTAAACATTGAACAAATTTGTTTGAAATTTGAAAAATTTGATCAAAGAATTTTTTATATTCTTGTTGAGCAAGCGCAAGGTGTTATTTTATTCTTTATTGAAAAACAAGCTAACGTTTCGGCTGACTTCGTCTTCCTCAGAGCCTAAAATGTGAAATTGACCACAATCTACTCAGCCAACCACTTCCATAACCAAACAGAAAAAACGCTAAACCAAGATTCCAATTACGTTGAATACAAAATGGCTCCATCGCACACTCACCGCTTTCGATGAGGCTTCCACTGAGTATGTCGCGTGGAGACCAACCGCACAGAATTCACACGGAAGCGTAATGTGCCAATCCCATCAGAATAACAGGCTTACATACTGCCCAATATCACGCGTGATAATGCGGCATTCGTTCATTTTCGGATCGTTGGAATTAATCCAGAATGCCTTAAGAATTTTGCGCGCTTGTGTTTTCGAGACCTGTGCAACAATCGTCGCTTCTACTTCAAAATCTTCCCCGTTATGCCTTTGTGTCCTATGTGTGCCCAGTGGGGTACTTGGTTTAACTTTAAGTTGATCGAATAGGTGCTCTTTTATACGGACGCAGAGCGGTCTACCTGTTTCGCCAATGTATTCCTCTCCGCACGTTTTACAAGAGATAAGATAAACTGTATCCGAACTCACACAATCACCGTCTCTACCGTTGGGGCAAATTATACAACACATTCCAGCCCATCTTGCGAATACCCAAGTATTTTCGGATCGTCTACGTATTGCGTAGCTCTGCAGCGCGTACGTGATGGAGTCTTTCGACGTTACCTCCCTTACCGCCACCAGTACTCTTAGGCGCCAGCTTGTTCGTAACCGCCTATGTGACCGTCTATGTACAACACAAAATTGTACAGTTTGCCTCAACGGTAGAGACGGTAATTGCATGAGTTCGGGTACAGTTTATCTGGTCTCTTGTAAAACGTACGGAGACGAATACATTGCCGAAACGGATAGACCACTCTGTGTCCGCATAAAAGAACATCTAGTCGACAAACGTAAACCAAATACCCGACTAAGCACGCATAGGACCCAGGGACATAACGGAGCGGACTTTGACGTACGTGTCACGATCCCCTCACAAGAATCGAGAACACAAACGCGCAAAATTCTTGAGGCATTCTGGATTAATTCCAACCATCCGAAAATGAATCGCAGGGAGGAATGCCTCATTATCACGCGTGATATTGGGTAGTATGTAAGACTGTTGTTCTGATGGGATTGGCACATTACGCTTTCATGTGAATTCTGTGCCATTGGTCTCCACGTGACATACTCAGTGGAAGACTCATAGAAAGCGGTGAGTGAACGATGGAGAACGATTCTGTGTTCAATGTGATTAAAATCTTGGTTTATCAATCTCTCTGTTTCGTTATGGAGGTGTTTGGCAGAATAGATTACTGTCAACTTGACCTTTCCAGGCTCTGAGGAAGGCGAAATCCACCGAAACGTCAGCTTGTTTTTGAATAAAGAATAAAATAACACTTCGCGTTTGCTCAGCAAGAGTATAAAAAATTGCTTGATCAATGCCGAAGTTAATAGAGAGCCGGTCGTGGAAATTGTTGCTCTACGGTTTGAAGAAATTGCTGTTGCTTGCAAGTCAAGTGAAATTCTGATATATTGAGTTCTTTCCTTTTTATACAGCCTTACTGAGTTTTCTTTGCACTAAGCATTCTTAATTATACTCGGAACAGAACAGGAATGCACATTGTTCTCATACTACTTTCAGCTGTGTTGACTAAGTTGAATGCATCCAAGGTTACCCTAAACTGGCTTATTACAAGATGATTACGTGGATATACAGGTTAACAACAAATTGATGTAAAAGACTTATTCAGGAAACATCTGAGTCAACGAATACGAAAACGAAGCGAGAGCCTATTGACATTCGATCAGAATCAGAAGTGTGTAACGCCAACACTTCCGAATCGTGGTCATTCGTTACGAACTCCAGTGAAACCGGTTACCTCCATCAAGAACTCTGTGGTTACCGTCAAACCACGACGAATATAAAGATGACCTTTGTCTTAACAGCATACTGCATCAATTCTGTGTGTACCTACGAGCGCATGAATGTATGTCAATTGTCAGAGCAAACTTCGTCCAACGACTCTCGCCGGTTATCTTTTTTCCTCTTACTACAATTGTCATATAAGGCACAAAAAAGTAGTTATTATTGCTTCCTGATTATGTTCTGTGTCGTAATTTAACTCTGTAATCATTTCAGTGGTCATGAATGACTATAATGGTCGTCAGTAAAGTCTCTAAGCGTACCTTTCACGCACTAGAGATGCTAGCGGGATCCGCCCTCGTGTCAGGGTTAGGAAGAATACCACATTTTTTCTTCTGCACGAGACTGTACTTATTTGCAATGTTCTTTCGAAAGGTGCCCACGATTACGTTGTCGTACTTTGCTGTTGGGGCTGGGTATATTTACGGGTAATTTGTCGGGCTCTTCCTGAATAAGCGTGGGGCTTTTCCGTCTAAGCTATTCTGATCCACTTCATATGTAATCTCCAGTCATTCTATTGCGATAGCCTTAAAGTACACCTATTTTCAAATCTACAAATATAATTTCGTACATACAATGGGTGTAAATTGATCGAGAGCACTAGGCAAACGGTATCCATCCACTGAATTCACCAACTGCCTCCTAGAGGAAGTCCGTGCTAGCTTTTGACCCGCTTTTACCATTGCGTTCCTCATCAGGAGATGCTCTATATTGCAGCTTGACAAACGGTCCCGACAAGGGGATAAAGGAGTGATGAGGCAACCTATTGCCTAGTACTTGCCTACTGTTGAATGATAAGTACAGACAGGTTTTGTTAAATATCTGAACTTAGGAGCTTTACCTTTCTCCTTCTGTTTTCATTCATTCATTTTGCGAAGTTCACTTCAGATGCATTTTCTTCTTTTTCTATATTATGTATATACATTCGTTTAAATGAAGGGCTATCGTCTTAACTTTTATCTATTGTCTATAATTTTTTTCATAACACTGTACGATGTGAAACTACAACCGAAAGAATGCTGAGTTATGAGCAAAACTCGGAACCTCAGTTGAGCAGCGCTCAGTCATGTTTGTAGTCTATCGGTACAACGATAGGAGAGCACTAATAATAAATTTAACGACTGGGTTTGCTTATGTTTTGTGAAAATGATGTATGGGTCGTACAGAGAATGTCACATGCTTCTTCTATTGACAAAGTTCTACTGAGGAGTGATATTAACACATAAGGCTCGATATGAGTTGATTTCCACTCACACGGGTGCGGAAATAATGACCACTTTCAACTTTAAACCAACTTATCTTGGCCAAGAAAGAACTTTGTTAATTTCAATGGAAAGCATTAAGACAAACAAGGCTTTTTTGTTCGTTTGTCCGTTATAAGCTAATGATTAACTTTTTAACACAGTAGGTTCATACAAGCTGAGGTTTCGATATTCTCATAAAGGGAACCCACGAATAAACCTATGCCATGCAAAGTCCGAAAAGTCACTCGCAGCTACTCCCTTGTCAAAAAGGACAGCAAAAGATATAACGCCGAAGTAACGAAGTCCTTCGGATTATCAAACTTGTTTAACAGCTAAAATATCCATCAATAGAGGTCGCACATAGCTGAGTGGTTAGAGGTGCCCTGCGACGCATATGGGTTCGATCCCGCGCCCAGGCCCACCAAATCTTCCATCCCTCCGGTAATTGCCAATTGATGCCAGACCTATCTGAGAGGATAGCAGCACTGACTCGACGCATCGTTAGCCCACCGCGAGTCATTGTATAGTCCAGATATGGTTTCATGCAATTCTAACGATGTTTGATGA